TGGAAATTAATTTGAAATGAGTAACACCAGAGAATATTCTTGATATGAAAACACCTGTCTTCATAAAATTGTATTGACCTGGTCACACTTCAGATATTTATTTATTTAGATAAAAAATGTCAGAAATGCCAATGTAAGGCTTAACTTCTTGTTTCAGTATTTAGTCATAGAAATTTTAGTTGTTTATACATAAAATATACCTATTTGACATATAATGTGTTTTTTAAATGATCCCAAGTGGCTACAGTATGTAGGGGGATTTGAGGAAATAGGAATTTCCATAAATTTTAAGATCTTTCTGAGGCATAAGCTTAGGCATAGCAAGCCAATTTAACTTACACATATTGTATCATTTTTCTGATTTGAACTTGAAAAATTCAAAAAGGCTTTCTTATGTGGGATTTAGCAATAATATTCTAATCTCTTCAAAGTATGTCTATATTCCAGATAGCAGTTATGATATTCTTTCTGATATGTGCCTCATAAATTAAAGGCAGAATCTGACCTATAGGGGGTGACAAAATTAAAAACATTAAAAACGTTCATTTGCATTTGTTTATTGGGATTCCCTACTCTGTGGAGCATTTTGAAGTTTTAAACATTTTTTTGCAAAAGGAACAATTGCCAAATATAATTCAACTTTCAAAGGTTTTATTACATTACTGTACTTCACTTGAGCTTATGTCGTAATTCAACATTATATCATGTATACTGTTATTAAATTAAAATATTAGCTTTATTTAAATTGCTCATTTTCTTATTAACAATATTTTACTGGAATGATTGTCAAATATTTTCTGCCATTTTCATCAATACCCAAGTAATAGTATGATTTAATGTACATAAAATAGCAAAACTCGGATGGCTGCATGTATAAACATTTCGAAGAACAGTTTTTGTTTGCATTTAATTAATTTGTAGACATAATGTTCCTGATATATTTGTCAGGACTGCAATACTGCAATAATGAACTTATTATGAAGTACTGAGAAAGAAAAAAAATGCCAAGCGTGTCTCCACCAGAACAGTTTTCAGTATTTAATGTGCGAGTCAATAGTTAGATGCATATAAATACTTGAACAATTGCAATGGATTGTTCCAGTAATTATTGTATCTGTACATGTTTATCAATTTGAACCACAATCCTAGTGTGATACGACTTTGAAAAGGCAAAACTGACAGCCTTTACTGAATACATAAACTTGGCATTTCAAATACAAAAATGCATTTTATAGTGCTCCACTTTTAATATTTCATTGTGAAAAAGTGAATGATATTGCCTAATGACAGTATATAGTAAAGTAATAGCCATCAATGTAGGCTGATATTGACTAATAACAGTATGTAGTGAGAACCATAAACATATTTAAATACTGCCTGAATAACTGCAGTAATGCTCATGAACATATCCTGGCCTAATGACAATATATAGTAAGATAATACTGTAATAGCCATCAATGTAGGCTGATATTAACAGTATGTAGTAAGAACTAAACATATTTAAATACTGCCTGAAAATTGCAGTAATGCTCATGAACATATCCTGGTACTGTCTAATGACAATATGTAGTACTGTCTATTGATGTACCCTGATACTGCCTAATGACAATATATAGAAGTGGCTGTCAATATAGCCTAAGCCTGATACCGACTTATGACAATATATAGTTCTGTCTATCAGTATAGCCTGATACTGCTTAATGACAATAATGTACCCGGATACTGTCTAATGACAATATATAGTAGTGGCTATCCATGTAACGTGATACTGTCTTATCACAATATATACTACTGTCTATCAATGTAATCTGACGCTGCCTAATGACAATATATAGTGCTGTCGATCAATGTAATCTGACGCTGCCTAATGACAATATATAGTGCTGTCTATCAATGTAACCTGATACTGTCTAAAGACAATATATAGTAGTGGCTATCAATATAACCTGATACTGTCTAATGACAATCTAAAGTACTGTCTATCAATGTAATCTGATACTGTCTAATGACAATATATAGAACTGTCTATCAATGTAATCTGACCCTGCCTAATGACAATATATAGACCTGTCTATCAATGTAGCCTGATACTGTCTAATGACAATATATAGTAGTGGCTATCAATATAACCTGATACTGTCTAATGACAATCTAAAGTACTGTCTATCAATGTTACCTGATACTGGCTAATGACAATATATAGTAGTGGCTATCAATATAACCTGATACTGTCTAATGACAATCTAAAGTACTGTCTATCAATGTAGCCTGATACTGTCTAATGACAATCTAAAGTACTGTCTATCAATGTTACCTGTTACTGTCTAATGACAATATATAGTAGTGGCTATCAATATAACCTGATACTGTCTAATGACAATCTAAAGTACTGTCTATCAATGTAGCCTGATACTGTCTAATGACAATCTAAAGTACTGTCTATGAATGTTACCTGATACTGTCTAATGACAATCTATAGTAGTTGCTATCTATATAATCTGATACTGTCTAATGACAATCTAAAGTACTGTCTATCAATATAACCTGATACTGTCTAATGACAATCTAAAGTACTGTCTATCAATGTAATCTGACGCTGCCTAATGACAATATATAGACCTGTCTATCGATGTAGCCTGATACTGTCTAATGACAATATGTAGTTCTGTCTATCAATGTAATCTGACGCTGCCTAATGACAATATATAGTGCTGTCTACCAATGTACCCTGGTACTGTCTAATGACAATATATAGTAGTTGCTAATTATATAGCCTGATACTGCCTAATGTCAATAAATAGTACTGTCTATCAATATAACCTGATACTGTCTAATGACAATCTATAGTTCTGTCTATCAATGTAATCTGATACTGACTAATGACAATATGTATTAGTGGCTATCAATATAGCCTGACACTGTCTAATGACAATATATAGTACTGTCTATCTATGTAACCTGATACTGTCTAATGACAATCTATAGTAGTTGCTATCTATATAACCTGATACTATCTAATGACAATCTAAAGTACTGTCTATCAATATAGCCTGATACTGACTTATGACAATATATAGTACTGTCTATCAATGTAACCTGATACAGTCTAATGACAATATATTGTACTGTCTATCAATGTAATCTGACGCTGCCTAGTGACAATATATAGTACTGTCTATCAATGTAACCTGATACTGTCTAATGACAATCTATAGTAGTTGCTATCTATACAACCTGATACTGTGTAATGACAATCTAAAGTACTGTCTATCAATATAGCCTGATACTGACTTATGGCAATATATAGTACTGTCTATCAATGTAACCTGATACTGGCTAATGACAATATATAGTAGTGACTATCAATGTAACGTGATGCTGCCTAGTGACAATATATAGTACTGTCTATCAATGTAACCTGATACTGTCTAATGACAATCTATAGTAGTTGCTATCTATATAGCCTGATACTGCCTCATGACAATATATAGTACTGTCTATCAATGTAATGTGATACTGTCTAATGACAAGATATAGTAGTGTCTATCAATGTAATGTGATACTGTCTTATGACAATATATAGTACTGTCTATCAATGTAACGTGATACTGTCTAATGACAATATATAGAAGTGGCTATCAATGTAGCGAGGCAATGCCTAATAACAATATATAGTAGTGTACATTACATCGGTCAATAGTCAATATTGTTGAATTTAAATATGGCAATCAAAATCAATGTTCAATGAGCATTTAACCTAGATTATGATATAAGTGATAGCAGACCTTTCATCTAGCTGTTACTCACTGTTGTATGTGAGATAAGACTAAATCAGTATAATTAGAAGGGTACTATAGCTCACATGCTCACTCTTGACCATCAGTAGAAAGGTGATAGATGTTACCTTTTACTTTTACAAGTGGTGGATGTTAATTATTGATTTTAATATTTATAGTTTTTATGGAATCAAGGCACTTTCACATGGGCATTTGGCTTTAAAATGTTGATCATAATCATTTGTTTATGTAATATAGAAATTGTGATACCTTGTTAATATTTCCTAAATGCACTCTAACATTATAAGTTGTAACACTGGGCATAGGTATGTCAAAGGCAGCTTCATATTATGCAGTTCAAGTTACCCCTCCCTTGGTTATATAACACACACCATTTAGAAAATATATATGAAATTGCACTTTCTGTGTCAGACAAGGTTGCTGTTGTTGACATTTGAAAGACAAATGGTAATGGGAAGTGCCTTTAATCCATGATAATAAAATATATCAACCTCATTCATGAGCATCCTCCATTTTTATACAGGGAAAGTAAGGTTGCTACAGGGTGTCCCAAAACTTCATGCATTATCAGGCAAATGATAGTGGTGCACAAATCTGATATTCATTATCCTACAAGAAATGTCTTATTGACGTCAATTTACAAGAGGGGGACCAATATGTGTATAAGAGATGGTACGTGATTTTAAGTCCTATAACTCTTAATTGCTCCACTTTTTCATTCTTCAGAGGTGTAACATCCAGAAATAAAATTATTAAGTTTTTTTGACACCCTGTAAAGTTATGTGATCCATGTTATTACAAAGATTGATCAAAGTTCACAATGGTGACAACTCCATTTAATATCAGCTTTCTGGAGTTGTTTCCATTCTTCATTGTCATCTATCTCAGCACAATCTCTGTGATACCATCTATCACATCCATCACACTGAATTGACTCTGTGTCAAAATCACAGACCTGTTGGCAATCAGGGCACTTGTAATCATTTTTTGATGCCTTTTTTGATTTAGTTTTTTTTGAAAGTACCACTCCAGATGTACTTGATAAAACATTCACTTTGTTGAATCCCAACCTTTTGGGAATTTCCTGCTTGAGTTTCTCAATAATGGTACCTCTATTTTTCTTGTCATTAACTGTCATTTGAATATTGTACGATTTTGCAATTGTTAAGAGGTGTTGTATTTTGAAAGGGATGTTATCAGTTTCTTGGATTGTGCTCAAAATCAAGTGATGAGAATGCTGTTTCCCAAGACTGGTGTCTTCGCAAACACTTTGAAATGTTAACTTTTCTGATTCTCGCTTGTCAACTTTCTTCCTCAAGGCTTCCTTTTTTTCGATGGCAAGCTCGCTTACAAAGTCCTTTCGAAACTGTTTCACGAGAACTCTGGTAAAGAGGCTCACAACTTCAATGTATAAAGGCTGCAAAAGTGTTAGATCTTGACCCTGGAATAAGTCAATCCAACTCTGTTTGAGGTCTGCATCCTCTTCTAAAATTTGTCGTGTGTATGAATTAATGTTCTGGCCGTGAATTGCAAGATTTTTCACAGAAAGTAAGCTCAAAGCTTTCGAAGATAGATTCCTAATGAAATGAAATGCTTCATCTGTAATGTGGGCTAATCCCTGATTCATGTTTTGCCTCTGTGTTGTTGTAGAGAGGCTGCCCTCATCTTTGGACTCTTCATAAATCTGAGCCTCTGTTCTCATGACCGATGATAACAATGAGATTTTACTGAAATGGTTTCTGATTTGTCCATGAGTCTTGGGGTCAATGCTGTGTACCCTTTGTTTTGCCAAGCGCTGGTGGTTATAACGCACCTTGGCAAATGTATATCCACCTACATATCTCAGTGACCCTCTTGCGCCATCTACCATGTCAACTGTCGGTACATTTCTTGGTACTGGAAATAAGAGTTAAAGTTACAGTGAAGTAAGTTTAAGAAGAACATAGCCTCTGTGCACTTCTTCAGAGGATAACCAAACTACAATTACCCTCATACTGTTCCTACTGGGTGTTCATTAAGTAATAATAGTACGTGATAGATTTTGTCAAATTGTAATAAATCGTAGTTAAATTTTCAGCTTGTCTAGAAATGTAATTTTGGCATCATGATAAACGATTACATCTCATTTCTTCTAAGCCCTGTTTTGGGAACCAGAAAGATGTTATTGTATACAACTCCACCAACTCAATTGAAGTGTTCTATTAGAATTCATTGCCCAGATAAACACCAATTAACTTAAAAAGAGATGCCATTCAAATGTCTATACCAAGAAAGTAAATAATGTTTGGGGGATGTGTTTCAATTTTTGTTTAAATTATTAATCAGGCCATAAGAAGTAGATTGTTTGTTTTGCGTCCTGGCAAAATCCAAATCATTCAAGGGTACGAGGAAAACAAACACAAACTCAAGAAAAAGCACAAACTTGTTTGCTGAGAAATGTATACATTTTATGGGCATAAAAAGAGATGACTTACCAATTTGCAGTGATTACAAACACATGTCTACACATTTTATTCAACATATTTAAACATAGCTATTATTCAAGGGTTAAATAAAAAAATTCACAATGTATGCCAAAGTGATGAATAACACGGTCAATTTTGACGCACATCAAATTATCTGCCATTTTGTCTGATTCTGATTGAATGAAATGCTATGGTACTGTCAGACCCTTGTGATTGCTATTCGGATGTGTTTGTTTTTTCTGATTACTCAAAATCATGCAAGCAAGGGGACGCAAAACGAAGAATGTACTTCTTATGGCCTCATTTAGTATTTGGACATAATTTTTTTTTCCAATTTTAGCATTTTGCTATGCATTGTCATTTATAGCACTATTTTTCATTAATTGTTAATATTGTAATATTGATATTTTTGTGCTTTTAGAAGAAAGATAACATATGAAGCCAATGTAATACATTTGGTTTTCAGACATTATAATGTTCATTGTTTTCTAAAATCTATAATGATTGGTTAAAACTGTAAAATGGGAAACCTAGTATCAATACTTAGTGAACACCCTGTATTTTATACACATATGCCATGGAAGTAAAGTATATGATGAAGTTCTCATGCCCAGTGATTGTGAAAATGGGAGCAGGCAACTTCTGGAAAAATGTAAAAATGTGGAAGATTTATTTTTGAAAAAGTTTACAATTGAATTCCTTATGAATAAGCGCACGGTATGGTAAAATTTGTGAGGTCTTCTGCATTTTGTTTTTGAATCAAAAAAGGTACAGTCCATCAGTCAGTCAGTCAGTCCGTCCGTCCGTCCATCTGGAAGATAACTTGAATACTAGATGACAGATTTTTTTCATATTTGGTGCAGAGATTTATGTTGGTGAATAGTTATATGAAGAATGCCACTGCTTTAAAAATTGCAAAAATCAAAAGTTTTCCATTTTGAAGCAAAGTAATAAATATTATCGATTGACATATTCACAACATCTATCTATTTCACATACATTCCGTATTTTTATAGCCCCCTACTCAGTCCCATTTTTACGATCACTGAGTGTGGTTTGTGCTTTATTGAAACCATGGCCATTTTAGTTTTTCACACTTTATTTTGTTACAAGTTATGAAATTCTGATGACAATTCACTTTTAATGAAAATGTATCTTATGATGTTATCACAATATTTTATATCATCAAAAAATGTCCAAATGGCTACTATTTGATATGTGTAGTTTGATTATTTCCTTATATTATGAAAAATAATTCCATCTGTACATACATAAGCTTTGCACATTAACTTTTGTCAGTTTGTCTATTATAATTGCTGTGGTCAAAAACCATAACTGCTAGTTTTGTTGCTGAACAGTGCTATGTATTCATTCAAAAATGAACTTCGTCTATAGCTTACTTTCTATGGTAGGTAAGGTAAGCTCCACCTCTTGCAGAACCCTTTTCACAACAGTTTCTCTTATCACCTCAGAAACCCCTTGCAATGTGCTTAACATAGCAACATCAATGTCACATGCTGAAGCTCCTGTTAGTTGTTCTATGTGATGCAATCTCTCAGGCCTGGTCATGATTGCCTGAAAATTCAAAATTAAAGACCATTAACTACTTTAGACTTCAGATTGCCTGTCAAATGCTCTGATAAATTGAAAAAGTCACCGGTTGTTCATGGTGCCTCAATGTGGAACAAAGTTTAGCTTCAAAATATGTTAAAGTTAATGAAAGTCTCCAAAGCTTAAAAAATAGCCAAAAGAAACTGATTCAAAAATGAAAACATCATTTTGACACCTCCATTTAAGTTAACCAGGAATTTAGAAATTTTACTGTACTGATTCAGAGTATGTATGATTTTTAAAGCATAGCTATATGCTTAAAAAGGACCATATACATATCTCAACATATTTCAGAGAATCATATGTTGGATTGTAACCTTTTTCTGATGAATGAAACAGGTGCACATGTCAGACCAATGCATTACCACCAGGAAAAGTACTTATAGAGATGAGAAAATAGTTTTGACTTTGAGACGGGGAAGTTACAATCACATCATCAACATGTTTTTGGTTCACACAGTCAGCCTATGGGATCGACCAGGCGTCCGTCCGTCGCTCCGTTGGTCCGTCCGTCCGTCAACATTGGCCGCACAAATTAAAACTGCTATTCAGAATTGAGTCATATCCACAGTCATTTTATGCATATTCATAATACCTATTTGACCTATCATCGCCATTTCCCAAGTTCGCCCAGTTTCCGAGAAATTGCTGATTTTGATGTCAAAGAGTAAAGTTTTCTGTAAATACTAGACACTTTGTTGAAGTAGAACTTTCAAATAACTTGTAGTAGTTGCTGTATAGGCAAATTATGTCCTCTGAAGATTTCAAAGCTCTTGGAATTACAGTTTTTGGTGCTTAGTCAATAAAATTTGACAAAAAGTAGGACTTAGTCATTTTCAGGAAACTTTCTTATGTATAAAGTCAATGGCAGGTTTTGTGATTGACAAGTTTCTCAAAGTTTGCCGTATACTTGATCATTTCTTGCAATGAATTACATCATAACTAGATTTAGCATTCCCTACATATTGCTCAATATATGTCGGCATCAAATTTTTACCGTTTTTGAGATATTTGATGTAAAAAAAAAACCAGTAAAAATAAGTTATTTTTCAACTTGCTTCAATTTGACCAATTTTTTTTTTGAAAATCATCTACAAGTTACCAGGAGTTCAAATCTGACATTAGTTTTAGGATTTGACCTTTACTTGACCTTTAGTGACCTTTAAAAGGTCAAAAAGATTGATTTTTCAAATTGATTTTTGGATGTAAATTTTGGTCAGCTTAATCACAAAAGACCTTACTGAGCTCTAAATAAGTAAAATTTTCAAGGTCAACGGTCATCAAACTAGGTCACACAACTGTGCTGTCTAAGTTTCTCAAAGTTCGACACTACAAATCCAAATCAATATTTTGGTTTGAAAGTCAGGATATACATTCCTCTGAAGGTTCCAAACTGTGTGAGCACGGGACTTTGGGTCCTATTTTTTTAGAAATGTCCTGATATTCAGCCATTTGCACACCTAATTTTTCATTGTTTGATGCAGCAATATGTTGCGTCTTGAGACACAGTTATCCTGTTTAAAGGAATAATACATTCCATAGGTGGTTTTAAAGAAATCAATTTTGGGTGACCAAAATTGAGCTGAAAACAATGTAACACATGAATTTTCCCTATGGGAAAATAACATGGGAAAATTGGTTTCTTTTATACTTTAGCCCGAAGGTATGCTTTTGTTCCTTTAAGAGGTTTAATGTGAATTTAAGCAAAACATATTCATGCATGAAACATTGAAAAATAGGAGTGAAAAGGGCTGAAAATTAGGACATTTCTTAAAAAACATGTTGGTGGGTTGTTTGCACGTTCCCTGTCTCAAAGTTCAAAATTTTTCATCATCTCTATGAGTGCTTGTCCTGGATTCAATGCACTGGCCTAACATCAGAACCTGTATAAATCCTCAGATAACACACAGGTTGTCATCGAAACAATCGATAGCCACAATGCTGTTACTGTTGTTCCTTAATTAGTTTATGTTTAAAGGCAGAATCAGATCTATGGGGGTGACAAAATTACAAGCAATTGAGCTACCATTCTATTCCTTACAATCTCAAATACAATATCTCCCAAAAGATGTTTAAATTCTCCTAAATAATAAGAATGTCAACCATTGTTATAGAAAAATAACACATTATTGTAAAAATCTTTAGTTTTCCTGAACTTTAAGTGTTCACTTAGGAGATTTTTAGAAAATAGAATGACATCAGCCAGAAATATTCCGAAATTGAAACAATATTTTGTTAGGCTGTTTGATAGATCTGATTCTATCTTTAATATTATATTATTTAGCTTGCCCTAATGCCTTTGGGCAATTGGCAAGCCATCTATTATATATTTGTACTTTGACTTATCAAAACTGTACTCCTGGTATTTTTGTATAGGATTTAGTTTTGCGATTCTGGCTGTTGTGCTAAAATCACAACAAATGATTCATGCGAACTGCCTATTAAATCCCCTGGTATTTGTTGAATGTGTTTCGTTTTGTGTAAAACGATCATCCAGTGTCATCAGTTAATTGGATACTTGCAACATTATATCTTACACTGGCTTACTAGATCATATACAAGCAAAAATGATGAGTAGTAGAGATTGAGGTGTAGTGATTGTAAATCTTATCAAGATATGACATTGTGTAGGCTTTATAATTGTATATAAGGTAAGCTAGATTACAGAGCTTGAAGAATCAGAGCATAATGAAAGGGCAGCGAGTTGTTTGTAGAATGAATTGGGGGAGTTTTTTCATGCATTTCGCTTATGTTTTTTACATAAAAAACAGGAATACAGTTTAAAACATTTTTTTGACGATAAGATTACAACATATAATCCAAAGAATTGTTATCCCACCAAACAAAGTTCGATGGGTTCGTTTGGGATATAGGAAAGCCCTTCATCCGTCTGTGTGTTCAGGCGATAACTGAAATACCGGTTGACAGATTTGATTCAAATTTTCTCACAAAATGATTTTCAAGATTGCTGCTGAATTACAAAATGGCGACCATTTTTAATAAAAAATGGATTCTTTGATAACTCAAACACAAGTTGACGGATTTGATTCAAATTTTATATGCTGATGCCTAAGGACAAAGGAGCTCCACTCAAGAAGAGATTTTCAAGATGGCTGCTAAATTTAAAAATGGCAGTCATTTTTTGTAAAATAAAGAACTCTATGATAACTCAAACACCAGTGAACGGATTTGGTTCAGATTTTATATGATGATGCCTAGGGACACAGAAGCTCTGTAAGAGAAAGAATCTGAAGATTGAGGCTGAATTTCAAAATGGCATTCATTTTTTATAAAAAACATAGATTTTGATAACTGAAATACCAATGAACGGATTTTGTTCTCAATTTTTTATGATGATGCCTAGGGACAGAGAAGATTTTTCAAGAAAGTGGAATTTCTGTTTTTGGTTCTAGTTTCTCATTTTTAAGGATAATCCATAGATTAAAACAACAAGTATGGTTATTTTTGGCACACATGCCTTCCAAGCAGATTAAGATAACATGAAAGTTAATCTTTAATACACATCTCATTCATATCATTGGGTTGTGATATAAACCAAAATAACCCAATAATGTGTATATTAAAGATTTAGTTCCCTGGATAATCCTTAAAAATGAAAAATATTTTTTGGATTATGTGGTGTAATCGTAAAGTCAATAAAACATTTTAAACTGTATTCATGTTTCTAAGATGAAAACCATAAGCGAATTATGCATGAAAAAACTCCTCCAATTCATTCTACAAATAACTTGTGGTCCTTTGAACTTGTTTCATCGGCAAAATTTTATAGCTATGATATTGTCTCAAAATGCGCGCAATCAAAACTCGCTAAATGAACCAGGAGTACAGTAAATAGATTATCATTTATAAAAAATCATTGCCTGAAAGTTTGAATAAGCCTCTGTCTCAACTGCCTGTGTGACAACATCTTGCCGGATTGGCTCCATGGCTGTTGTGATATGGGTAACCTCACATGACAAATAAACATCTAGGTATTCTTTCCTGGATGCCACAAGAATCTCAAATAAATCCAGTTCTTTTTCATGGAGACTGTCACATATAATATTACACCAGTCATTTACATCTACATGATCAGAAGGCACTCCTGGTGCAAGTTGTTGAAATGGCATGCATGGCTCTTCAAAATCATCTTCGTTATTATTATGCAGTGGTTTCAAATTAGTGTCATTGATATCTGTGGTGGTGATGGAAGAACCCACACAGCAGCTATGATCATGTTCAATGGAGCTTTCGGAAATGTTGTCATAAAATTCTGTTGTTTTGCTATCTTGTTTAACTATTTTTGTAGGATCAAAATTCTTAAGTCGCAGTCCATGAACAGATGTTGCCCTTCCCACAGCTACACCAAGCTGGCCTGGGTAGTTCATGTACTGGCAATCTACTTCAAGATAGGCAAACTGACATCCTTGTGATTTGTTTACAGTATACGCAAACCCAGGTTTCAGAGGTATTTGTTCACGCGTGCATAAAACAGCGTCTTGTTTAGGATCGTATACTGAAAATAAATTGGAAAGAATATAATACAGGGTGTCAAATAAGCCCTATCCCCCCCCCCTCTACAGCCAAGACCAAGTTATATGGTACCAAGTGTGATATATCATTGGAAAGGTCTTCCAAAGTTACGTTGATTGGCATATATCTGACACATGTCAATCAATCTCACAAATTTTTACATTATATCAATTGAGGTGACCATAGGCCTAGAAACATGGCAATTTGGCATACCAGATTTTCTCGCATATACGCCCCCCTAAATATTTAGGCCCATGGGCCAAAAATCGAATGTAGTACGCTTATACGCCCATGGGCCTATAAAAATGACTATTTATTGATTTTTTCAATAAATTCAAGAGTATTTTGTCACTGGCAGATCGTTCTGTCGTTACTTTGTTTCAACATTAAGTTCAACGCTGTGCCGTAAGTGGCAGTGGTGGATCGTTCTGTTGTTACTTTGTTTGAACATTAAGTCCAACGTTTTAGGTGACATTTCCTTTATAATTCTTACAAAACATGCGGTAGGACTACAACAGTAGGTACGGTAGTCTTTGAGGAACCATTGTATTCATCAGCTCTTCTCACCTTTATGCCCACTGGGCCAAAAATTGAAAGTAGTACACTTATACACCCATTGGCGAAAAATAAGAGGTAAAATAACAGATGAAATTACCCCTTCTTTCAGTTATACACCCAGGGCTTATATGCGAGAAAATCCGGTATTTGGCAGAATTTTAAGAATCGAGTATAAGAAAAGTCAAAGGACCTAAAGATGACTAAATACACCCTATGCAGACAGAGCCTGTGGGAAATATTTGGTGCGGAGCAAATGAGCGGAGGGTGCGGAGCTAACGGTTATTTTTGAATTTAAATTTGGGATATTTCTGAAACTAAGCCGTTTTGGGACTTCAAATATACCAAGATATGTGTATTTGACACCAAATATCAATACAATTGTGAAAATAGTAGCGCAATTCATTCTATAGCGACGCAGTGTGCCTTAAACCTTTCCCAGACCTATATATTTTGAAATTATCCTTTTAATACTGAGTCCCCAGCATTCATAAAAAATGGTGTTCAAGGTGCACTATCTATACAAATTATTTTTACATCTTGGAAGCCAGGCAGTATCTGTGTGATTTTATAAAAATTCGGAAATTTTTTCAGATATGAGCCCCCTCTAAATATTGGGTGCGGAGCAGCTCCATAAACGTAGCTCCGCACCCAATATTTAGAGGGGCTCATATCTGAAGAACATTTCCGAATTTTTATAAAATCACACAGATACTGCCTGGCTTCCAAGATGCAAAAATAATTTGCATGGGTAGTGTATCTTGAACACCATTTTTTATGAATGCTGGGGACGCAGTATTAAAAGGATAGTCTCAAAATATATAGGTCTGGGAAATGTTTAAGGCATACTGCGTCGCTATAAAATGAATTGCACTACTATTTTCACAATTTTATTGATATTTGGTGTCAAATACACATATCTTGGTATATTTGAAGTCCCAAAACTGCTTAGTTTTTGAAATATCCCAATTTTAAATTCAAAAATGACCGTTAGCTCCGCACCCTCCGCTCATTTGCGCCGCACCCAATATTTCCCACAGGCTCTGTCTGCATAGGGTGAAATATGTATATGGCAATGAATTCAACCAATTTCTGGATAGGGTTAGATGTGTAGAAAATAGAGGTTAATGTACACTCTTCATTATAATATAACACAGAGAAAAATGATGTTTGGGCTAAAAGTAGGCTTTTATTTATTCATTCACTATAAAAACATTAAATATGAGCATTTAGCGTAAATGAACAAATTACAAACAAACAATTACATGATAAATATATGGCATTCAGATTCATTAAAAACATTATTCCAAATGGAATAAACTTCATGCATGGAAAAATGGTGAAAACCTTTTTGTTTCAAGTTGAATGTGAAAAAGATCAACTTTTTGATATATTTCTGAGGTCATATCCTTCTCATTTTGACGCAATGAAAGCTGCTTAAAGAGGGTACAGTAACTATAAAGGACATCATGAAAATATAGGTGAATTTCATCCAAAATACTTGAAAGTTGGTGAGTTAACATAACTTTGGATGATCTTTCCAATGGTATATCACACTAGGTACCATCTATTAAGGTTTTAGGTGTAGCAGGAGATGGGACTTATTTGACACCCTGTATAGAGGTTCTTGTGTAAGGTCGTCCATTCTGAGCTTTGATAATTCTTCTTTATCCAGTCAAAGATGAGACAAAGAAACATTACCAAAGAGAGTCAAGAATGGACTATATTGCTCAGGTACAAGTACAAGAAAGCTTTTCTCATATGATTTTGTATTATGGCATATTTTTGCAATAGCCTAGCTTTAAATTTCATCTTTCGCTTATGGCATCATAACGGTAACTGGTCAACTCGTACCCAAGACAAGTCGTACCCAAGACAACTCGTACCCAAGACAACTCGTACCCAAGTATATATTTTGTTTTGAATCAAGCATTGGACTGGGAATGTGAATAGATATACATATTATAATTGTAACATACTGTTCAGAATAGTTTAAAGTTTGAAGAAGAATTTTCGGAAGAAATTGATTTCATTTTGTGACAATTTATATTGACTAATATTTTATATTGGTCACATATTCAGGATGTTCGAGTGAAGAGACATATGTTTATTCCACATATTCATAATCATTTTTCAAAATATTGTATGTTTATGAATGTTTGGAACAAGTGTCAGATCTAATGTTGTAATTATATTTATTTATATATATATGTTTGACAAAAAATGTTGAGAACAAGCGCTTCAAGCACTTCTTTTATTTAATAAAAAATGCTTTACTGATCCATTGAGAAAAAATGTCGTCTAAATTCAAAAAAATATTGAGGCTTATTTGATTCACATTGTAACATTAAAGCATTACAAACTCAATTTTTTCCCTAATATGCACCCATAATACTGAAAATAATCTTGGGTACGAGTTGTCTTGGGTACCAGTTGTCTTGGGTATGAGTTGTCTTGGGTACGAGTTGACTAGGAAGCATCATAACAATATTGTTGAAAATGCTTTATTGTTATGATGTCACAGCTTATTTTTCTAGAATGAGCATGGCTACTGATACTTGTAGAAACAATGTATTTGTTGCCATATTATGTTGTTGATTTTTATAAACCAATTATGTCACAAGTAAATCTCATCTTGCACGTGTAACTTCTTAGGATGAAAGATGGCAAAATTTTGCATGGGGTAAAGATGGCTGGCTGTATCTTTGTTACTCATATGAGAAAAGTGGTTCCTGTTCAATCATGTTCTCATAGAAACATTGGAAACTACAAAAATGGTCCCATATTAAGTCATATTAGGCTCATAATTGCCATTCACAAATTTAAAGTCACAAGCAACCAAGAATCACTTGAACAGGTCTGTCTAAATTATGAATGTATGTTTTTTATACCAATTAAGAACTTTATTAGTTAGAGTAAACCACCATAGTACATTGATTTACATTGATATTGATTTACATTGATATTTTTCACAATGAACCTTGCAACATAACTGTAACTGTGACTCACATACAGACACTTGTGACATGTCTCACATACTGTGACTTGTAAAGTGACTCATATACTAGGACTTGGGACATGACTCGCATACTTGGACTTGGGACATGACTCGCATACTTGGACTTGGGACATGACTCGCATACTTGGACTTGGGACATGACTCGCATACTTGGACTTGGGACATGACTCGCATACTTGGACTTGGGACATGACTCGCATACTTGGACTTGGGACATGACTCGCATACTTGGACTTGGGACATGACTCGCATACTTGGACTTGGGACGTGAATCACTTACTGGGATTTGGGACATGACTTGCATACTGGGACTTGAAGTCTGTCTCACATATTGAGACTAAAGATAAGATTCACATACTGGGACACTGGTGTGAATTATTGGTTATTAAAAGATATGCGTGACCTCTAAATGTTTCTTTTACAACAAAGTTCACAATTTTTCAAAGAAAAAGTTCTTCAAATACCACTTTTTAAAATTAAAAAAACCAACATTTCACCTGTCACACTTTGATAACATTGGGAAAGAGTATAAGCCAAAGTGCTCTAAACTTTATATGGGGCCTTTAACATTGATGTTGACCTTGATTTATTGTGAAAGGTTGTATAGCGAATGTTGGGTAATTGAGGATGAGCTTCACTTTATCACAAGCTGTATAAAGATCTTACAACTTTTGCTTGAACCTTAAAATCTGATCCGAAACAGTGCAAAGATCCAGATAAACTGTTTGAAACTATTATGTCAAGTAAAAGCTCTCATGTTAACTTACATTTAGCCCAATTTGTTTATCACTCTTTCAAAAATTTGGAAAATGATTCATATTTTATAAACATTTTTAAAAACACATGTATTATGGATACATCACAC